TGGGACTCTATAAGAGCTCCCCCTGCCATCCAGCCAGGACAAGAGGTTCTTAACCTCAATTCGAGCTCCTGCAACTTGCTTAACACCCCCGAGGTAGACGAACCCTTCGTTGGCTTAGTTTCCTCGTCCTCCCCCAGTGACCCCTTGGAGGCTCTACAACCCGAGGACAAGAGGTCCGAACTGCCGTTGAGTAGGGCTCATCAGGCGACACCTGGGCTGTCAGATCGGCCATGGCCGCTTCCTTTTTCACCAGGTCCTCGATCCGGTGGCTCCGCCAACTGAAACAGCATGTTTCCCCCTCTAACACTAGGGCACATCAGGTCATCGTAAAGTTAACGGCCGCAGTGGAACCCTCGGCCGACGCCACCTACCACAGCCCTTTGTTAGGTGGCCTAGAGGTAGAGCACTTGCCTCACAGTCAGGAGGCCGTGAGTTCGATCCCAGGTAAAGGCTGATATTTCAGATAGTCTCTCCTGCTCTTGTACATTACCTCAACGGTTAAGTTCTCCGCCCGAGTAATAACCTCTCTCGTTACAGCTCGCCGCCTACTCTGGCTCTAGCACTGGCAGGCAGACATAAAAAAACAAGGTTAAGCTGGCCACTGCCCCCATTAAGGGGGACAGACTATTTGGCACCGCCCTGGAGCCATTGCTATCTGAAACCTGAAGCAAGAACAGAGCCAGTTTGGTGTAGAGGTTGAGGTACCAAACTACAAAGCAGGACGCTGTGAGTTCAAGTCCTGCTAAGAACAAGAAAGCCTCTGCCCTTTCGGAAAGGTTCCTCCCGACCCTTCTACCAGTCCCCTTCCAGCCCAGGTATCCCCCCCCTCCTTCCGGCAATTCCAGCCCCAGGATCAAGCCGATCCAGGTTACAGGAACAGGAGGGGCGGCAGCCACAGACGGCCCTTCACGGGCCCCGGAGGGAAGCCTCTCTGGCGCACCAGATAGACCCTGCTCCTCCCTTCCCATCGAGGGATGCCTCAGGCATTTCGCCGACCGATGGGATTCCCCCACTTCCGATGCCTGGGTCCGTGGCTCCATCAGGCTTGGTCTTGCGCTTGAATTCCAGCGCCCCCCCCGACTTCTTTATGGCATCCCCCCTTTCGAGGGACCCCACCAAACACAACTCAATGGGTTCAGCCATTCAGCACACCATCCCAGCGGGGGCAGGGGTTTTTCTCCCTCCTCTTCGTGATTCTCAAACCCTCAGGGGGATGGAGGGCGATTCTAGACCTGAAACGCCGGAACCGTTACCTGATCTACCGCAGGTTCAAGATGGACACCCTACAGTCCATTCTACTGGGCATCAGGCAGGGGGACTGGCTAGCCTCTATAGACCTTTCAAAGGCGTCTCCCCACTCCCATTCCGGCCCTTCCATTCCATATTCCTCAGATTCTGCTACAACCACCGCCACTTCCAATATGTGGCTCTTCCCTTTGGGTTGGCCCCTGCCCCGAGGATCTTCACTAAGGTCCTCGCGTCTCTGGCGGCCCCCGCAGGAACCTCCCGGTTCGTCTCCATTGTTACCTGGATGACATCCTCGTCCTGTCCCACCCCAGTCTCTAGGCAGGGAAGGATGTCAGAACTACCCTCTCTGCCCTCCAAGACCATGGGTTCCTGGCAAACTGGCAAAAGAGCCGACTGTTACCACCTTCACGGATCACCCCTTGGGGCCCGTCATTAACTCAGTTCGAGGAAAGGTTTTCCCTTCTTCGGAAAGATTCCTTAACATTCAGGAAACCGTCAAACAAGTCAGACGTTCAAGAAGGGTAACACCTTAGAATTGTCTAAGCTACTAGGTAAAATGGTCCCATGTATTTCCATTGTTCCCTGGGCCCGGTTGCACACCAGGTCCCTACAGTGGTTCCTGCTCCCGTTCCAACGGTCCTGCAGAAGCAATTCAAAGGCCACGGTCAAGGTGCCTTCAAGGGTCCTCACGTCTCTCCTCTGGGTACCAGTCCCGCCATCAACAAGGGACATGGCTTCAAGGAGTCCCAACGCCTCACCCTCACCACAGACGCCAGCCTGTCTGGATGGGGCAATCACATCCACTCGCTCTCGACTCAGGGCACATGGTCTCAGGTTAAACGAGCATGCAGTATAACTGGTTGGAACTCCGCGCCATCCGCCTGGCCCTGCGCAACTTCCTCCCTCAGGTACGCGGGCGGCATGTCCTCATACTCGCGGACAACATCACGACCAAGGCCCATGCCAACCGACAAGGGGGCACCAGTCCATCCGTTTGATGAGAGAGGCCGAGCGCCTCTGCCATTGGGCAGAGCGCAATCCCCTCTCTCTCAAAGCCGAGCACATCTCAGGGGACTTAAACACCCAAGCAGATGGGTTGAGCAGGTCCACGGTGGACCAGCCCAAGTGGCGACTCCACCCGTCACTGTTCAGGGAAGCAACCAAGCTGGTCGGTCTCCCGTTAGTGGACCCCTTCGCATTCCTCCCCAACACTCGACTCCCCAGGCTTTCTCGAGGTACCCCTCCCACGGGGCCGAGAACTACAATGCCCTCCGTTGCCCCTGGCCATCAGGGCTTCTATATGCATCCCTTTAGCCCTGGCCCCCAGAGTCATCCAGAAGCTCATCTCCGAGAAAGCAGAACTGATTCTGGTGGCACCCTACTGGCCCAGGCGCCCATGGCTTGTGGACCTCCGCAACCTATCGGTGGCCCCTCCCTGAAAAATCCCTCCGATCAGGATATCCCTTTCTCAGGGTCCCCTCCAGCACCCGGATCCTTAGTGGCTCCTGTTAGCAGTTTGGAGGTTGAGCGGGAGCGCTTAAGAAAGGGGGCAGTTTCTGACCAGGTTATCGATACTATTCTAGCCGCCAGGCGGCCCTCCACAACCCGGATATACAATGCCACTTGGAATAGTTTCTGCAAGGGTGCCAGGGGTTCCAGGTCAACCCGCTTTCACCCTCCATCGTTCAAGTGTTGGCATTCCTCCAAGAGGGTCTGAGGAAAGGTCTTCTCCGAACTCCCTGAGGCATCAGGTCGCAGCCCTTTCAACCGTCATTGTTTTGACAATCTGGGGTCCCTTCCCTCCACCCTCGCATCAGGGCATTCCTCAGGGGAACCACCAACTTTGTCCCCCAACGGTTCACAGATACCCTACCGGGGACCTCAATAAGGTCCTGGTGGCCCTTCTTAAACCCCCTTGAGCCTCTCAGGGTATCCACTCTCCAGTTCCTAACGTACATAGTCGTGTTCCTGGTGGCCATTACCTCGGCTCGCCGAATATCAGAGATAGCAGCCTTGTTGGTGAGGTAGGACCTTTGCATCTTCCATGCCGACCGGGTAGTTCTCCGGCCGGGCCCTACCTTCTTGCCCAAGGTCAACTCAACCTTCCACAGGGCACAGGAACTTACACTTCCGAACTTCTGCCCCGATCCCCCATGGGAAAGGGAGAAGCTCTGGCACACCCTGGACGTTAGACGGGCCCTCCGCATTTACATTAAACGTACCCAACCCTTCAGGAGATCCGAATACCTTTCCTCTCCTTTCAGCCCATATCATTAGGCCACAAAGTGTCCCCGTCAACCATCGGCCGCTGGATTAGCGCTACTATTTCCAAGGCGTACTTGTCCCAGGCCCTGCCGGTTCCCAGCGGAATAGCGGCACACTCCACCAGAAGTGCTGCTACCTCTGCAGCTGGGGCCACTCAGGCTCCAATTGCTGGTATTGGTCGGACGGCCACTTGGGCCTTCCCATCTCCCTTCATTAGACATTATAAGATAGACATATTTACCTCGGTGGAGGCTTCGTTTGGTAGAAGAGTCCTCCAGCGAGTCTTCGAGGAACCACAGGGGTCACAGGACCAGACGGAGTCCCCCCCGTAGGACAGCCAAGCTTTGGTATGTCCCACACACTGGATGATCCGAACGGCCTCCAGGAGAATGGGCGTTGGTTCTTACCTGACACGCCATTTCTCTGGGGGCCGTGAGGATCATCCAGCCCCACCCTTATTAGTTTTCCGTCTGGTGGGGTCTTGTTTCGGCCAATGAACCCTTTAGCATAGTAAGAGGAGACCAGGATTTCTATTCACTCTCGACTTCGCGTAAACTGGGGATTGCAAGGCAGCCACGTGATGAAGGGCGGAGCAATCCTCAGTAATTAAGCTCAGCCTACAACGACGCAGACTGGAGCACCTCCCACACACTGGATGATCCTCACGGCCCCCAGAGAAATGGCGTGTCAGGTAAGAACCAACGCCCATTTTATCCTGATCATGGATTAACATCCTGTCTACTTCTTTGGTTCCATCAGCTTTTTTTTTCCATTTGGAGCAATGGAGGTAGCTGAAGTGTACCTTTCCCCCAAGTACAGCATGAAAACCAACCTAGTGGCTTATTTTATGATGGCACATATAGCAGGCGATCTAGACACATGGAGAAAGAAATGGCCATTATAAAAGAGACATCTCAGCGTAGGGCAGGAAATAAGTCTGAGAAGGAGTAACTCTGTCTCAGTTAAACTAGGCATAAATTTATCTGGGGAGCTGCTTTGGCAGACTTTCAAAATGCTATTACATTGCCCCACCACCAATAAAGATCTTTACAGTAATCAAATTATTCTTTCCTAAGTTTGCCAGTCTCACAGGCCTTGACAGTAAAACACAGCTGCCCTCTGAATGGAGAAATAATGTCATGATTCATTTCTAGCTTCATCCAGAAGAAGCCAAGAGAACATCAACATCTTGACACTTGCATCGCAATGTCATCGTGCAAATGATGTCGTTATGCAATTATTTGTGACCTAAGTATGTACTTCACATCATTTGAACCATTGTGTTATTTCTTTCCTCTGGTGGCCTCTGTAGACATCCATGTCACCTGATCCCATCTGGCATGGGAAGTTTTGCTGGGCATCATGCAAGGTTCAGCCACCCTGAATTGAAAATATGTAAGGGGGAATCCACCATTTTGGGTGATAGTTGAGCAATTGAACTTATATAGAGTCTGAATGTTTGTGATTTTTTTTTTTTAACGAAACAGGAGGAACTCTGATTACTCAAGAAGGAAGAGCCACAACTTATGATTGAATGCTGATGGGACAAGGGGCTGTGAATCGGTGGAAATAGCTACAAATCGAGGCATTGAAGAAAACCTTGTAGGGTGAATAAAATGCTGCTAATCGACTTTGTGAGGAAATGCTGTAAAGGAAGTTTACAAACTTGGTATAACAGTATTAAATGTAATCCTGCCAATCCAGTGACATTTATCTTTTTCTCATTTTCCCTGTTTTGTTTCTCTTAGCAGAACAAATGCTACCTGTGCATAAATAAGCCCCTTTATATTTGTTTCGTAAAACAAATAACATCAGCAATAAGTAGTTTAGCCCATAGGAGGAATGGCAGACAATGAGCTCTTTGACTTCCTCTGAGAAACGTCCAACTTTGTTCCATCAGTCTTTTGACTTTAACAAAGGTCCTTGTGTATATTGTCCTCAGATCCAGCAGTGTCTACTAGAAAGGCGGGGCAAGGGATCAGTTTTGACAAAAGCATCATCCCAGTGTGATGCTTTTCTATGTGTGTCAAAACAGCATCAAAGGAAAACCCCAAAGGAGCTTGTGGAAATCACCACTAGGATAATTTTATAATATTTCAGTGAGCGATAGCTAAGTAACTTCTAAATTGTCAAGATTTCCTTTATAGGAAGAAATGATTGAATTATATGCCAGGCAAACGGAATAAATTGTCATCAATATAAACCTATCCACATTTGTTTCTTTCAAGGAAGCCAGATGGGCAAAGAATAATACAGTTTTAGTTCGGTTTCATAGTTTTAGTCCACTTCTTTTTTTCCCCTCTTCTATTGTTCACTTTCTTTCTAAATTTCTTCCTTTGGTCGAGGGGCTGAATGAGAATTGCAGTCACATGTTAGATTTATATTGCATAAATTTTCAAGGAACACATTTCCAAGTGTGAAATGGAAATAAACATTTAGCTGTTTTGATGAGTACCAAAAGGGGCCAAGTGTCACAAATGTTTTAGAAATTGTAGAGCTATGGTTAATTCAGAAAAAAAGATATATTCAGCACGTTAATACGTGCATTTTAATGCAGTTAGTTATTCAAGTTTTGTTAAGAGTTCCAAGCGATAGTCATGGGAAAGGAGTCAAAAAATCAAGATAAAAGCCATAGTCCTAACCCATCCCTTTTAAGATGTCTTGAATGTTTAAAAAAAAAGGGGGTGCAGGGCTTCAAGAAGTTGCAAGCCCCATTTTGGCTTCTTTGACCCCCCCCCCCCATACACACACACACATATGCAGATACTTCAGATGTTTTCTCATGGGAAATTTGCTCAAGATTAAATGTCAACAGATAACTAAAAAACACCTTCAGGCAGTAATTAGGAGTATTTTAAATATGAGTGTTGTTTGATAAAAAAAAAAGATCTGACCAATCAGCAGATGAAGACTACTAATTAGCATAGGCTCAATAAATGCCCTATTTATGGGTTGCAAGTACAGAGTATAGAGTAAACCTGGAAGAGGATGCTGAAGTGTATCTGATCCTCAAGTGGTGGATTTTGTCTTAAAGGCCCAATCTGCATATTTGGATTCCATGACATAAGTGCTATGCCTCCATTCCATTCCTCAGGGTCATCTACTCAAAGGTATGTATATTTGTGCTCCTGGTTTTACAAGCGGTCCTCGACTTACAACCAACCACAGTCGAGCCCAGGATTTAGGTTGCTAGGTGAGAAATTGGTGCATTTTGTCCCGTTTGACGACTTTTCTCGTCACATTGGTTAAGTGAATTACTGCAGTTGTTAAATTAGTAACACGGTTGTTTGGTGAACGTGGCTTCCCCCTTGACTTTTCTTGTCAGGAGTCGCAAAAGATGGTTACAGGGCCCCAGGGCACTGCAACCGTTATAAGTATGAACCAGTGGCCAAGCATCTGAATATAAATCGCAGGACCATGAGGATGCTGCACTGCTCATAAAGGGTGAAAAATAGCAATAGCACTTAGACTTATATACTGCTTTATAGTGCTTTATAGCCCTCTCTAAGCGGTTTACAGAGTCAGCAAATTGCCCCCAACAATCTAGGTCCTAGTTTTACCGACCTCGGAAGGATGGAAGGCTGAGTCAACCTGGTGGGATTTGAACTGCCAAATTGTAGGCAGCTGGCTGTAGAAGGAGCTTGCAGTACTGCACTCTAACCACTGCGCCACAGAGGCTCCTGGGTCATAAGTCACTGTTTTCAGTGCCATTATAACTTTCGGTCACTAAATGAACTGTTGAAAGTCGAGGACTTCCTGTACAAGGTTTAACTATCATTGTTGATTTAAATCCTAGGAAAAGATGTACACGAGAGTTTTGAGTTCTCTAAATCTTCAGATTACCCACCTGATCATACTCTCAGGATGCTTTGTGGGAAGCTAAGAAAGTTAATCTAGTTTATATGAAATAAAACTGTTCATATGAAATCAAACATGGCCCTTTAAGACAAATCTGCCTGAAAGGCCTGTCAATGCAATTATTATCCAATCACGGGTTCCTCTGCACCAAGTTGTCTCTCCTGTAACTGTTGTTACAGAATGTGTCGATGTTGACCATTTTAAATAAAGTTCAGTGTTCCAACATAAAAGCTTACTGTATTTATAAACGTCTTGAAGAAATGAAAATTCATTGTCTGAAGGAGAGACTTTCATGGATTCTGCTGACAACTGGAATCTTTTTTCAAATTGGGGAAAAAGATGCAAAAAAATGGCTTTGATCTGCTCTGGTTTATGGATGTGGAAAAATGGAGAAAATATTAGTTGAGGTGCAGTCTATATGTGCTTTATAGTTCTTCAGTGGTTTTTTTGGGGGGGGGTTTAAAGGATCTTCTGTATATTTACAATAGTACTATCTTTTGTTGATCATTTCAGAAATTATCTTAAATCAGTGCAAGTTACTCCAGATCATTATAGTCCATGTTTGGGAGCTAGAAATGTAGACTCAGGTGCTGTTCTGACCCAAACCTTGTTCCAAGGAAACAAACACGAAACAGAGGTTAACAGCAAAACCTTTTAATGATTCTTTACGAATTCTGTTCCTTCCCAGTTAAAAGGCTGTTTGAAACTAATTGTCTCTGATAAGAGCGAGCCTTGCCAAGGTTGTACAAGGCTGCCAAGAACCCAAGGTAAAGTTACTAAGAAATATTTCAAACACAAAGAGTCTCCAAACACCAACCACGATATTCCGAACGTCCACAAGGCCTGAGTGCAAAAACTTATTTGCTTCCTGCAAAGAACTCCGGTTTCTCAGTTGGCTTTTATCACTTGAGGGAGAGGTCATTACCTTGCAGCCTTACTCCCAAGTCGCCTGTGCTACTGCAACTGCTCTTTGCACTGGGCACAGGCTCCTCGGGCACCTCTTCATCACTGCTGCCAGCCTCCACAATCTCCAAAGGCAGCATTCCACTCCCTGATGGTCCTGGTCCCATCCCTGCATCACATGCAGGCCCTTCATCTAAGTCCTCGCTCTTTGAGACCTCAGCTGTCCACACCTTCCGCTGGCAAACCACAACAGGTGCTTTTTCAGGAGTTGGATGACTTGAGAATCTCTACAGACTTTTAGAAAAGTAGACACGAAGCAAAAAAGACATTTAAACATCAGGAAAAGGGGTGATGTGCAAATTTTTAAAGCACTCTCCTGTTTCAGTTGAGTAATTAGTTATTTGGATTTCCAACGCTTCATATATTTTTAGAGAAACTTACTGCATATCACGTTTATATCCTTTATGGCTGCTATTTGGTTTGGACACAATTCTAAGAATTGTAATATTGCCATGGGGTTCATCAGTTGGTCCTTTATACTATAGTTTCTCAACAGCCTCATTATGTCAGTCCCTCTACACATTAACTATAACTGGGATTTTTTTTATGAAATAAAACAAAAGTTCAATCCCAAAGAATAATAAAATAATAACGAACACAGTATCCTATAGTGAGGAAAAAAAGCTAGCTACATTATGATAATGATTAAACAAAAGAAATTCTGACATGTTAACAAAGAGGGGGGGAATAGACTAATGAAAATGACCCATATAATATCTATTGGTGTTGATATAAAATTAACACTATAGGTTTAATTTTAAGCCTGTCGTTACATCCAACTCATTTAGAAACAGATCCGATCCCCTTTTAATTTTTGGAGCACAAAGATTATTCAAAAACTGGTGACAAGTGACTATTTAGAACCTTCCTTAACATCAAAAAGATAACTGTCTTTCCAGGTACATTAAATTTATGTTGACTAATTTTGTTGATTAGGTAGGTTTGTTATAGAAATGGCTAGTATATACTATTGTTTAAAAATAAAAAAATTGACACTGTATAATATTATGATCTGTGCCAAAGAGAGTTGAAGTCAACACCTTTTTTTTCTTTTTTCTTTCCTACCCCACATTTTCTTTTTTTTCCCCCTTCCCCTAGTTTTCCATTACTTTTTATTCCCCTTTGTGTCTTATATTTTGATAAAAATAATAAAAATGTGATTTAAAAAAAATTAAATTTATGCTGGTAGAGCACGGGTGTCAAACCTGCGGCCTGCGGGCTGGATGTGCCACATGTTGGCCCCGCCTCCACCTGGTTTAGCAAAGGGGGAATAAGTCCCAATACGTCATGTGACATTGCCGTGACATTGCAAGTTTGACACCCCTGCGATAGAGCCACAGTTTTTCATGAGGTTACAGTTTCCACATTTTAGGTATATTATTCAAAATCACATTGAGGTTTGTAATATCTTTTCCAGAATTGTATTAACATATGTAACAATCGGAAAGCAAAATGAAGCCATAGCTGGACAAGAACAGATCATATGAATTAAGATATGCATCCTTTTAAAACATCATTTGAGGAGTCCAATAAATACGAAATAGTATTTTCTAATGAATTCATTTCATTATTAAATCATAAGTATATCTTCTCCAAAATCGGATAATCCAGTTCTTCATTCCAAGAATCAGACCGATAATTAACATTGATTTTTATGTTTAATTTTTTAGGAAATTGAATTGGTTTCATTCAAGCATTAACCATCTTTTTTTGTTATGTGTTATAAAGTAACCACATTTAACCACATAGATAGTTTCT